ATAGAGAATGGATAGGTTTTATATAGAGAAATAATTCTTGGATCCAATTTTCTATAGAAGTCTATAAAAACTCATAAATGTCTATAGACTTTCTATAGAATTCTATAAAACATTTTACTACGGGATATGTAGGCATATATACTCTCTAAATGCAAACGAATGAATAAGTGACTACAGTGACCACTCCCGATGGAGTGAAATAAAAAGAGTGAGATTTCACTCTATTCAGAGTGAATTGTAGTAATTTTTCACTATTTTAAGTATAATATTGACTCATTTAAGAGTGAATTTTTCACTCTAGAAAGAGTGAAATTGGAGTGGTGTATATATATATATATTAAATATTTATGCACATATCAAATTATTATATTAGGCTGTATTGTAAAATAAAAAATAAAAAATACTGTTGTAAACCCAATGAAACAATCTCATTGTCCATTTCATGGATTTCCATCAGATTATTTATCATGCGGACACTTGTTAGAAAATTCCCCCACAATGACGTAGATGGTAGAGTATTCAAGACTCGTTACCGTATGAAACACTCTTACTACAGGATCATTTCTACCGGATTTCAACAGATCCAGAAACACCATTTTAGTGCTTTTGGACCTTAATGGGCAACGCTAGTATTTCTCTATTTAGAACACACTCAATTTATACTGAGCTAGATTAAATTGTGCAATGCCAAAAAAGTATTCTTTCAAACATTTACATTCATTCATTTATTCAAAAAAGTAATATTAAAAAATAATAATAGGCCTAATAATGATGATTATGATGATTGGTGGTTATTTTTGTTCCTTTTTTGTTGTGTTTACTGTTGCCATTTTTTTAAGAACACAATTTATAAGAACACCGAGACTGAAATTGCAAAAATAGGAACAAAATAAGAAAAAAGTCAGTCTGAGGTAAAATGTCATATGAGGTCTATAATACAGTACTATACTGCTGTAAAATAATAATGTTTGATATTCGAAAAGTGGGTAAAATATGAACAGAAAAGAAAAATTTGAGCCCGAAATTGGCAAACAATCAAGAACACTGAGTTTGGGCAAAATCATAGGCCTACTGCTTCTTATATATAAAGAATAGTATTATGTTTTGTAACGAGCACTGAAGACGTTGGAATGTGTTATAATTAGATGGGGATTGATTGATTATTAATATTATTAATATTATTGTAACTATTATTATTATTATTATTATTATTATTATTATTATTGTTATTATTATTATTACTATTAATTATTATTATTATTAATAATAATTATTATTATATTAAAAATACTTGGGGAAATTTCCACGTATTGGAATGATAAAAGAGGACCTGATGGTAAACTATTGAGAGTGCAACTCAAGATCCGCATGTAGGTGAAAGGCATCTGGATTAATACAACTTCTATACATGCTAAATACATTGGAAATCAATCCTAAATATGTTAGTGTCGTGATTTATTTTCTCTTATTAGCCGACTTTGATGAAATTATTGATCCATTAGATGATCTTGAAACTATAGTTGTTTACATTCGGGATCATCAATATACATGACATAATGGGTTCGATCTACTGCACGTGTTCATTGATTGAATGTTTAGGTTGCGTCTTAATCCGTATACACAATCATGGTGGAGGGCTTAATGTGACACAATAATCCATT